CCATCATTGTTGTTTGGCGGGTCCGGGCTGGGGATTCGAACCCGCCACCTTAGGTGTACGTGGCTGGCACCTTAGCCAGTTGAGCTATAGGCGCCAAGCCCATAATTCCATTTCAATTCAGTCCCCAAATACTGTCAGCCTGACCTGATAGCCTCTGATCCAGGTTAGTAGGGTTCCAAGAGTCCCCCAGTCTTTTTTGTAAGGATGGTAACAAAGGAAATTTGTGACTTAAGTGGGAGGCAGCTACAGAAAAATAGGTCCTCAACACAAAACATTTCCTAGATATCAATTGCTAATGTGAAAAGGGATGGGATGTTTTTCCTGTATGCCATGTTCTTTCATTAAAAACTATGTTAGAAAAATATAAGTATGGCAGCATGTTAAAGAGTTAACAGAGCCATTATTGCTCACATACAAAGAATTTGCAGATTGTTTCGGCTTCAGCAGGTTTGATGTACCAGGGATCTTTGCAGTACACTTCCTGGGGCAGCTTCCACTTTAGGAACTGGGCACATATAGTTAGGACTCGCTTGCTCTCCTGTGAAAAAGATTATCATAAATGAGCATTTTCAAACGTTTTCTAAATGAGGTAATCTTTCTTCAATAAAACTGAGACTAAAGTCCAATATGGAAAGCTGATACACTCAGAATTACCCTGGCTGAAGTGAGTGGAGGGGTGGAAAGGAACCAGGACCCTGCATTCCTCCTCCAACTTCACCAAACAGACCCATAAAATCCCCCAAGGCTCTGAGTAGGATGTAGAAACCACTGGTCCTGGGCAAAAGTGACAGCTGACAGATGGAGTACCCAGACCAGAGGCTCGGGCAGGGATCCCACTATCCCATGCTCTACAGAAAAGGCTCCCAACCCTGCTTGCTGCTTCCATGTCATTTTTCTGTCACTCTGCACAGGGGGGTGCAGCTCCTCTCTTCTTATCCTCATGGCATCTCTGGGTTGGAAAGAACTGTAGAGACTTTTGATCCCTTCCTGATCTAGATACTCAAGCGAGGTTTAGCCAGGTGGGCCTTTTCTCTAGTTCACTGCTCTCCGAATTCCTCCCATGAACCACATAACACTTCTGATGAGTCTCCAAGCCAGTATTTCATCTGTGGTTCACTAAGTATTTGGGCCATAAAAATTCCTTTGGGGACTGATAGGAATACAAAAAGTTCAGTTGCTTGGTTTAGTAATTTAAGAATAATATACAATAAACTAATACTTTAGTAAAGTTAAAGATACCCAGATATTCTACTTTTTTGGTTTATGCCCTCAAGAATGCTCATTGGAATATTGTAATCATGAAAAATTGAAAACTATTGAAATGTCCAGAAATAGGGTAATGGGATAAGTTGTAGGTTATTCATACAATAGAATTCTATGTAGCAATGAAAATAAATGAACTAGAGCTACACAACATAGATAAACTGCATAAATATAATGTCAAACAAATAAAAAAGCAAGATGCTGAACAAGGTATAGAATGATACAATACATAGAGTTTTAAAACATGAAAAAATATCACCACAGAAATGATGAAAATAAAATTCAGGGCTCGGCGCCTGTGGCTCAAGCGGCTAAGGCGCCAGCCATATACACCTAAGGTGGCGGGTTCGTATCCCCAGCCCGGGCCCGCCAAACAACAATGATGGCTGCAACCAAAAAATGGCCAGGCGTTGTGGCGGGCACCTGTAGTCCCAGCTACTTGGGAGGCTGAGGCAGGAGACTCGCTTGAGCCCGGGAGTTGGAGGTTGCTATGAGCTGTGATGCCATGGCACTCTACCCAGGGGGATAGCTTGAGGCTCCGTCTCAAAAAAAGAAAAGAAAAGAAAATTCAGGATGATAGTTCTTGGAGAAATTTAATTGGAGATGGGTGTATGATTTATCCTAGTTTTATTTCTTAGAGTGAGTGGTGGATATATGGGTGTATATTATTATTATTATTATTATTTTTGGTAGAGACAGTCTCACTTTATCATCCTCAGTAGAGTGCTGCGGTGTCACAAACCTTACAGCAACCTCCAACTCCTGGGCTTAGGCGATTCTCTTGACTCAGCCTCCCGAGTAGCTGGGACTACAGGTACCCACCACAACGCCTGGCTATTTTTTGGTTGCAGTTTGGCCGGGGCTGGGTTTGAACCTGCCACCCTTGGTATATGGGGCTGGCACCCTACCTTCTGAGCCACAGGCACCACCCTATGGGTGTGTATTACGTTCTTTGTGCCAGTGATTTCCTAACTCATCTATGTCAGACCCCCTCCTCTCTGCTTAGCCTACTCTCTGAGGAGCCTGGAAGGAGGCTAGAGATTGCTTAAGGCTTGAAGGAGAATAAGCCCTGTTCCAAGGCTTTCCTGACTGCAGACGGCTGGCTGGTGGGAGTGGGGTGTCAACCCCTACAGGGTATACTTCCCCATCACTTAATAGGAAAGTTCTGCCCTAACCTTATTGGAATCTAAAATATTTCATATTTACAGCCGTAGAGCCATAAAACTTTTCTTGTAACAAAGTGCCAGGGTCCACCTTAAGTCCTGTTTCCACCTGAAACCTTGAGCTTTCGTTTCTGTATGGGGGGAAATAGGAAAGTGAGAGCTCTGGCACTTTCCCAGAATCCTGGAGGTGTAAACCTTCCTGCCTGGGTTGCTGTAACTGGTGGTCATAGTTAGCACCTTCGAATGGATGGGCTTCTGAGGTGGTGGACAGTACTAAAGATGACATTCCCAACCTTCCACCCACCACTCACTTAAGACTGGGATGACTGGCTCGGCGCCTATAGCTCAACCGGCTAAGGCGCCAGCCACGTACACCTAAGGTGGCGGGTTCGAATCCCCAGCCCG